AATATTTGACGATTTAGGATTCCAAAATTCGTGCTCAAAGGAAGTACAATGCTTAGCCTTAACATACCTCAATTCTGGGTCTTGTTGTATCAATATAGATTGTACCCCTTCCTTAGAGTATGTAATCTACAGAAAATAATGTCACAAAACCATTACAGACAGAATATTAACATGGCAGGGTTAAAGTAGCAGTTTAGATCTTACTAGCAGAGTAATTAACTCGCCAGACCCTTTTTAAATGTATGATTCATTACCTTTTCTTCTCCAAATTACAACCCCAAATTAATGACGTAACATACATTTTTGCAGCATCTATTAACAAGTGGAGGCCTACACAATAGTCAACAACAACCAAATAGAGTATGTCTGCACAATAATAAAAACTCGGCGTATCGCCACACCCCTCCTCTCCAACCACAAAATAACCACAACCAAATCCAAACCATGAGTCTTCAAACCATTAAAGCCAGAAAAATATATGTAATACAATCCTATAATTGTTCAATATAACCATAATAACTCGAACTTACGGCTTCCAATCACCATCCTGTGAGTTCATCCAATAATTACGTTTGGAATCACGTCTTTATCTTCATAAGCAATACGAGAATAAAAGGGCAGACCCTTAACTTAAAATTGATGGAGCTTATAGTATGTCAGCGTGTCTCCTCAATTACAAAGAGTCTCCTCAAACATAAGACGTTGAACTAAGAAGAAGTCATTTGAAAATTGCAATGCAATAATAGAACCAACGTTACACTTATTTATCTTATAATTAATTACCCATCTATACTTCTTCATCTCTTCTAGACTCATATCAACAACAACCACACACAACCAAATCATTTCAAAAATTCCAGCAACAACAACATCAGAAAATACTTCAAAAACAACCCAACATCACATAACTATCAAAATACGATTTTTCAGCCGTCTATTCGTGTTCTTGCTTATATAACATAGCTATAACTTGGATTCCTTCAATAAAATGAAGGGTGAGAATTAATTATTACCTCCAAACAGCAGCAACACCACCTAAAAACGAGACTCCTTCACCACGAAAAATCCTTCAAATCACAACCACCGAGGAGGAAAGAAGTAACACAATCTCTATAAACGTTTCGATGGTGAAACCACGTTGAAATCTTGTAGATCTTTGCTTGGATGATAGGGGAACCTTTAGAGAGGATTTAAGGCTGTTTTCTTCTTATTTTGGTTGAAAAAAATGAGTTAGAACGAAGGGAAACCAAATCTTATAAAGCTAAACCGACATAGGGGTGAGGGACCCACCTTCACGTGCCTGCTTGTGCAGTCTCACTAAAATATGAATATCTCTCAATTCTGAAGTTGTATGGACAAATGGTTTAGTGCGTTGAAAAGTAGACTCGTAGACCTTCAATTTCATATATTGGAGTTCTTCTAAAGCTTTATATGTTGGGAGAAAAGCTCCAAGACATTTAACCCAAATTTCAGAAGGTTTATTAAAGAAACTTACTCTAACCTTTGTCAACTTTTATTTCCCAACTTGCTTGACTTCAAAACTTAACTTACGATCATTGGGAGACTATAACACCTTATAAAACATCCTTATTAGCATATAAGACACTCTTTGTCTTACCCTAAAGGTACTGGTTAACTTAAACCTTACGAACAGGCAGGGTGTTAGAAGAGACATTCTTTAACTCGAACTTGTTTAAGGGCATCCTTGACCCATAACGTTAGCTTAATTCTTTCATTTTTACCACCCCTATGAAAACTTATTCTTCTAACATGATACACCAAGTCATATAAACCTCATACACTCATGCAATGATACACATACTATGCGGAAGAACCATAGGGTCTCACAATAATAATTCGTATTAATTTTTTCAAGTTTTAAAATATTATATTTTTAAAATATTCGCAACGCGCGAATACGTATACTAGTACGTGTAAGGAGGATCAAATATACCCCATATGAATTATGTTTTTTTCAAAATCATAATTAAAAAATTAAATTAAAATTAATTGTTTCACTATGATTAAAGGAAATGAGTATATGTGAGTCATTGGTTTAAATTATCTAAAGCCTCCTTCAACCAGACAACCACAGCTAAAAACCAAACAAGCCCAAATCAGTAACTATTGATTCTGGTGTTTCTTCAACTATTTTCGAGGCCTAAAAACGAAGATTTGAAGTTTTCTTGTCATAAATCATGAAAAATTCAATGTTAATCTACAAATCTAAGTACAAGTAAATAATCTTGTCAGAACTGGTTAATATTTTTTTTATTTTTTTTCTGAACTGGTTAATATCGGATCTGAAAAGTTATGGAAGTTTTGTGACTCAAATCAAATGAATGTGGGATGATGTGGTTGTTATTGATTGATTTGAATCAATTTGTTTGTGTTATGGGTTGAATTAGTTCAAGATAAATCAATTTGGTGGTGTTTTGGGTTTGATTGGTTGAAGACTGCCAGCCATCACACAAAATTGTTGTCAGTGTTAATTCTGAAACTGTGATAACTTTTCTTGTTGTTACAAGGGATTGAAAAATCAAAAGAACACTCCATATTAAAATTTGAAATTTATGCTTTTTCTTGTATTGTCATGGCAGGTTCAGGATGGAGGAGGTGATGATTGATGAAGATGATAAATAGGAACTTGGGCAATAGCAAGGGTGAAATTAGCTAATAAATGATCCTTTCTACTTTTCTTGCATTCTTGTAGCCTTTTTATTTGTATGAAATATTTCTGTAAATGAGTTGATCATGTTTGATGTTTTATGGAACTAGAACAAACGAAACCAAAACAGAAATTGAAAGAGACTTGGTGGAGCATATGCATAAACCTTGGACTCACCTCTCTCAGTTTAGATGCGAGTATCATCATATTCTGCCTCACAAGGTTATGTTAGGATCTAGAGTTACCCATCTTCAAATTTTCCACACTTGTATGCTACGACATATTTCTTGCACCTAAACTATTGCTCATTTTTAGGTGTCCATATGGATGTTCAACTGAAAGCTTACTATTGACTACACTCCTACCATTCTTTCAAATTAACTTCTCATTTATGTCTACTGTCTTTAAGTTTCTATAATCGAAGTCCAAATATGTTTCCTTCATGGAATTGCTTACTGGAAAGATAATGGTTGCAATTGCATTAACGTCCGCAACAAAAGTTGGAGGATCATTTGTTTTCTTCATGTGCTCAGTGTTACTGATGGTAGCTTAATTCCAAGTGACTTGATGCCTAACTCATATTACCAGTAGGTAACCGTTGCAACTAATTTGGATGAGTACCAGGATGTTTCTACTAAATTATTATCATGGTCTATTTTTCTTTTATTCTACTTGTTCTATTCTAACTTTTAACAGATGAATGTACATTCCTGCTGTGATTTCCACATACATGTTGTGAAAGCATAATGTGATATGAATTTCAGTACTTTCAAGGTTCCTTGACTCATTACTATCAGGTTATGTTTTAATTACTTCCTTCTTTTTTACATGTGATGGTGGGAGGTAGCAGGTACTCCGTGTATTAGACAAGGTGCATGAAAGCTAGCACCGATACCATAGTCCATAGTTATTAAAAAAGATCATGGATTCTTATTGCTATGAAGGTCTTTTGAGATGATGTGGATATCATTATATACCAAGTTTCTAATTAATCTTCTAATTACATACTATCTAATCAAAGTTATCTTGTGGTGTTGTGATTATAACTGGCGGCCCCAACTGCTGATGAAATTGGAACAAAGATCATGGTTAATTCCCAACAGAGAGATAAGGTTATGTGATTTTGTTCTATCTATCAAAGCCTTGGAGCTACAGTTATCCAATACCGATGCTGATAGGAAGATGCAAGTTCCTGACATAATAGTTGAGGTGTGCACAAGCTGGTCCAGACATCGTCATCAACAAAATAAAAATAAAAAACTGTATTTGGGTAGGATGGCCTTTATTTGCTGCAGTCTGAATGATCAACTATCTCATTTCATGTTGCGTGGCAGCATTAGGTAACATAAGTTAGTGCTGCAAAAGGCAAAAAAGGATCTGCAACTGGATACTTTACCAATGGTCTAATGCTAAGGAATAAGGATGTATTGCTGGATTTAGAGATTGCAGTCATAGTAATGTACCCAACTTCTAACGGAAGGTAAAATAGTTTTATTATACAAGGCCAGGTTTGCTATCTTATTGATTTATAAGGATAGGTTTATTAGATTTTGTTGTCTAGCTGTTACATGAAAATAGCATCTACTTTTAGATCTGGCATCAACACAAAAATAGTTTGATGATCTTGCAAGATTCAGCTATAAAACACAAATGGTCGCAGATGACTCTTTTCTTTTCGTGTCATACAATTAATTGTGAAAAATAACCATCTACATTTTGTCTATAGAATCTTCCTTATCCTGCAACGCATCTGCAGCCTTTTTCATTTTAGCTTCAGACAGTGCGGATTCCTCTTCTTTCTTTATCATCAGTTGTTTTGCCTGTTTGAGAGCTTCAACCAGCTTCAGAAGGCATTTCTCTGAGTCTTCTTTCAGGGAGCTGGGCATCAGGTTCTCTGCAACATCGGCAGGTATAATCTTTGTCTCCCTCGTTAGAATTTCAATTGATTCAAATATGGGATGTGTGTCCAAGCGCAGGTAATTCTTTGCAAGCACCTTGAATCCATCAAAACTACAGTATGAGAGCTCGATGTGCTTATCCATTCTTCCCCTTCTTGTAAGAGCTGGATCCAACTTATCTACATAATTTGTAGTAAAGACAATTATACGTTCTCCACTGCATGCAGACCAAAGACCGTCAATGAAGTTCAGAAGCCCAGAGAGAGTGACTCTACTTCCACTCTCTTCAGTGTCCTTGCGAGAAACTTCTTTCTTTGTCTTTTCAATCTTCTCTTCTGGAGGTTTCTTCTTCCTTTGACCGGTTAGATCAAGTGAGCAGTCAATATCTTCTATCACTATAATAGACTTACTTGTTGTTTCAGCCAAGAGCCTTCTCAATTCTGTGTTGTCCCTCACAGATGTCAATTCAAGATCACAGACGTCATAATCCAATAAATTTGCCATTGCAGCAATCATAGTAGACTTCCCAGTACCCGGCGGACCATATAGTAGATAACCACGCTTCCACGCCTTGCCAATCCTCGCATAGAAATCCTTGCTCTCTCTAAACATGAGGAGATCATCCACAATATCTTGCTTCTTCTCTGCTTCCATTGCCAAGCTACCAAATGTTGCAGGATGCTCAAATACGATATGGCTCCATGTGGTCTTGCTGTGGCCATTAGTGTAGAGCTTTCTCTTCCTGTTTCTCATCTGAATCTCTTTCCCTGCCTTGATCACTTGTTCCAAGTAAATATCGGTTACCATGTCACGATATTTCTTGTGTAACATAAGCTTGTAATATTTTCTTTCTAGTTCTGGCAAGTACTTACTTTCCCGTTGCACAAGTTTGCCAGAAATCCACTGTACTTTTACTCCACAAAACTCGTCAGTAACTTTCTCATGTTCATCCATGCTTAGCACCAACTTGCTACCTCCAGTTACCGTTTCAGCTCTAAGCCTCTTTGCGTCTTTTGCTAAGTGGACACTGAGATATGCCTCAACTGCTGCATAGGCATCATGAGGCTTGAGATTGTTGCTCATGAATTCACTGATGGAAATCTGAATATAAGGGTAGAAAAAGCTCCTGATTCTTCGTGTCCACTTATCGAAAGCTCGGATAAGCTCAGGGGGACAGTATCGACGGATCATATCCCGCAGGAATATGAAACTAGCAATGCTCGTCCCGAATCCACCCCAACTTTGCAGCAATCCCATTGCTCTGATCATTGTTAAAGATGTTTTGAAATTCCCTTAGATTTGTGTTCACTTTATATAACAGGCACAGAGAAGCCGCAAAGCAATTTCTGCTTCTCGTCAAGGTAATTGGTTATGACAGCTTATATTATCCTCCCTCTGTCCATTTGCGCATTTCGAAAGTTAATTTGATTACTTTTCAGTTAAGTTAAATTACATTAATTCAATTTTTTGAACAAAAAATTTAGATATTTAAAAACTATACAAAAAGTACTATAAATTGTATTTTTTTACATATCATTATGATAAAATAGTACACCGTAAAATGGTAATCAAATTTTTTTATAGTTTGACTTTAAAAAAGGAAATCATGACAATTAAAAGTGGACGGATATAGTATTATATTCTGTTAAAAGAGTAGGTAAAGCTTTTGAATATATAATGTATGACTAATTTAGAAAAGGAAATTAAAGGCATGACGTTTTGTGAATACATAATGTAGGACTAGTTTAGAAAAAGAAATTTTGTGAATACATAATGTAGGACTAGTTTAGAAAATGAACTTTTGTGAATACATAATGTAGGACTAGTTTAGAAAAGGAAATTAAAGGCATGACGTTTTGTGAATATATAATGTAGGACTAGTTTAGAAAAAGAAACTTTGCGAATACATAATGTAGGACTAGTTTAGAAAAGGAAATTGAAGGCATGATGTTTTGTGAATGCCAATGACATTGCTGATAAAATCTTTTTATTTTAAATACTTTAAAACAATTTTTCAAAAAAATGTTTTTGATAAGCAAACCATGTTTGGGTAATCTTCTTAAAAAATATTTTTGAGAGTTAAATTACAAAAAAAAAATGACAAGTATCAATGTATTTTTAATATTAAGATTATTTATAGAAGAGAAATTATTTGAAATATCTATTATAAAAATTTTATTCAAAATTTATTTTTATTAAATTAAAATGTACATATTCAAATTTTCAATCAATATTACACGTAGATGAATAAAAAGATAAATAAATATTGATATAATATTAATATGATGATTTAAATATAGTTAAAAATATCAATAAAAATAAATTTAAAATCATTTCACAAATTAAATTCACAATAAAAACAAATAAATAAATAAATATAAATGGCCTATTGATAAATATGTGTTTCTGTTTTTTTTAAGAAGTAGAATTTTCAGCTTATTTTCAACAAAATAAAAATTGTTTCTGTTTTCATTTAAAAGTAGTTTTACAGATTAGTCAAACATATTAATTTTTTTAAAAAAATATTTTTTTTCTCTCCAAAATAAGTGTTTTTAGCTTTTAACGACAATGACAACTAGTTTAGAAAAGGAAATTAAAGGCATGATGTTTTGTTAATACATAATGTAGGACTAATTTAGAGAAGGAAATTAAAGGCATGATTGTTTTATGAATACATAATGTATGAGTAGTTTAGAAGAGGATATTTTGTGATTGGGTTGAGATTACTTGGAATACGAGTTGAAAAAGCTCAATAATGAACAAAATGCCAAATGACAAATTTGTGGACGGCTTCGTGAGGTGTTTTCCTCCTGTTATATTATATATAGGGAAAAGGGTTAAAAATGCCCTCAACGTATTGAAAATTGCTTAAAAATGTCCTTCTTCCACCTATTGGATCAAAAATGCCCTTAAGGTTATTTTTAGGATTAAAAATGCCCTTCTTTAACAGAATTATGCCAGGGCATAAATGAGTTTTTAAACTAAACACATGGCTTTAAAGTATTGGTCCACATGAATATTTTAACCCAACTAAAAGGATCCGATCCATGAATGAATAAATCCAACCATTTTTAATATAACCCAGCTATTTTGTAAGACACTAATGGCATCTTCAATTAGTCCATATTTTTGAACTTTATCGGAGGATTCATGTTCTGAATTGAAAATAGCTTCAAGCATGCGAATCGCTTCTGGTCTTAGTGCTTCTCTCTTCATATGCTCCTACCCTTACTCAAGCTATTTATCTATCACTATCAATGGAGAATACTCAGAAGTTATTTATCTATCACTATCAATGGAGAAAAGTCAAATTTGTGGGTGTTGTCAATAGTTTATTTTTTCCTTTTAGGGTGAAGCTGTCATAAATATTATCCAGATTTGTGGGTGTTGTCAATAGTTTTTTTTTTCATTTGGGATGAAGCTGTCAATAATCTCTCATAAATATGTAGTGCACCATTACTATCCAGATTTGTACTGATAAAATGGCTAATTGATTCGAATAAACATAAAACTTTTTCAATTTAAAAAAAAAACCATTTTAGTGTCGAAAGAACAGACAATATCTTTAACTTGTGATGCATTAAATTATGCATATTTCAACATACCTTTCTGGGGTGAATAAGGCAGAAGTTCTTAATTTAAAGCCAATGCCTTCAAAATAGCCGTCTGTAAAATGGTTGGGTTTATTCATTCATGGGTCGGATCTTTTAAGTTGTATCAAAAATTCAAGTGAACCAATACTTTAAAGCCATGTGTTTGATTCAAAAACTCATTTATGCCATGTCATAATTCTGTTAAAGAAGGGTACTTTTAATCCTAAAAATAACTTTGAGGGCATTTTTGATCCGATAGGTGGAAGGATGGCATTTTTAAGCAATTTTCAATACGTTGAGGGCATTTTTAACCCTTTTCCCTTATATATATTATTGGAAAAGGATAAGTGATGAGAGAAAAGACAGAAAGGAAAAAAGTGAAACTAGATGTGGACTTGGTGCAAATTTGCTTTCCAAGTTTCCATCTTACGTAATAATATTACATCATTCTACACGACGCTACAATAATCTAAGGGGTGTAAAAATCGAATCAACTAATAAATCGAATCGAAAAAATGTTATTGGGTTATTGGGTTAATGGTTTTTAGTGCCCGTTTGGATTGGCTTATTTTAGGTGTTTTAAAGCCAAAATAGCTTTTAAGCAATTTTGAAGTGTTTGGGTAAAGTTAAAAAGTGCTTATAAGCACTTATTTTTAAGTCAAAATAATAAAAATAAGCCAAAAGCCATAAGTTATAAATCCTAACTTATGACTTTTGGATTATAAGTCATAAGCCAAAAGCCAATCCAAACAGACCCTTAATGGTTTATAAAAAAAAATAGTGTGTTATTAGTCAGGTATCGATTTTTAGTATTGGGTTATTGGGTAAATCGATAACCCATTAAGACAATAGTATGTTACTACTATACCTTTTTATAAATATTAATATTAATATTACATATTAATAAGTTAACATAACCAGACATTATATCAGTACTCTATACTACGATCTACACATTTCACACGTCATAGTACTTCTACTTCACATATGAAATTCCATATTATGTTTTGGTTGTAACATGTTATTTTAGCCTTCGTACTACATCTACTCTTATTGATACAATTTTTCATTATATATCGTGTTTTACTATATCAAAGCATTTACCGCTGATTTGCTTGATTCACTGTATCGTGTCAAATTATTAGAGAAGTGAGAAATCATATATTTATTTTATGAGCATTTTCTTATTGGGTAAACTGAAACCAAATCGTTAATGACCAAAAACCGAAAAGAACCGTTAATGACCAAAAACGAAAATCATATATTTATTTTATGAGCATTTTCTTATTAAAAAAATCATTTTTCAACAAAATTTAGTGAAAAAAATATTTAAATTGGTTGAGTGACTTTCTAAATGAAATATCAATAGTTGAGTGATTTTGTAGGTAAAATATTCATAATTGAGTGACTTTTATGTTATAAAAAGAAAGTTGATTGACCTATGAAAATAACTATTAGTTGAGTGACTTTCTGTGAGAAAAATTCATATTTGAGTAACTTTGAGATTATAAATTAAAGTTAAGTACTCCCTCCGTTTCACAAAGAATGACCTGGTTTGACTTGGCACGGAGTTTAAGTAAATAAAAAAGACTTTTGAATCTTGTGGTCCTAAATTAAAGTTAAGTCAAATGTACAAAATTGCTCTTAATCTTGTGGTCTTAAACATGTCACGTGGAAAGCAAAAAGTATTTTTTTACCAAAAAAGGAAAGAAGTCATTCTTTTTGAAACTGACTAAAAAGGAAAGGATATCATTCTTTGTGAAACGGAGGGAGTAACTTTTTTGTGAAAAGTATTATTAATTGAGTGATCATATAAGATATTAACTCACAAAATTTGGTACCATTTTCAAAACTCAATTTCACTACTTTAGCTGTAGCTACTTTTTATTATTTTGCAAATTTTACCCCGAATTTTGTAGTTTACGAAGATGATATAAATTATTATTCATAAGATAAAATTTACTAGTTAATCTATTATTTATAAATATTTATTAGAAATATATTACAATTTCATTTTTATGATATTGTTAGAAAGTACTTTATCGTGCTAGGTCATTATAACATCTTATACCACGTGAAATAATTATTTTTGTGTTGCTGAGACATGCGTCTAAGGAAAATTCTCTTGTCATTAAAGTGAGTCGAGAAGATAAGTGTAGAAGAAAGGATGAAAAATCAAAAGTCAAAATTCGTAGCGGTCTTTCTCAAAATAAAATAAAAAATACGAAATAAAGAGTTTGAAGCAACGTATATTCAACGTTCTTTAAAAAATTCACGAATTTATTGTTTAATGATTTATCAATTAGTGAAAATAAGTGAATAAACTTATTTTTACTATTTCACTCAAAAAGTCACCCAAATAAATCGAATCGAAAAAATGTTATTGCGTTATTGGTATTAGGTTATTGGGTTAACGATTTTTAATGATTTTATAAAAAAAATTATTGGTTATGAGTTTGGTACCGGTTTTTAGTATTGGGTTATTGAGTAAATCGATAACTCATTAAGACGATAGTATGTTACTACTATACCTTTTATAAATATTTAAATAATAATAAGTTAACTTAACTAGACACTATATCAGTACTCTACACTACGATCTACACACTTTACACGTCATAGTACTTCTACTTCAGATCAGAAATTCCATATTATATTTTGGTTGTAACATGTTATTGTAGCCTTCGTACTACATCTACTCTTATTGATATAATTTTTCATTATATTTCGTGTTTCACTATATCAAAGCATTTACCGCTGATTTGCTTGACTCACTGTATCGTGCCAAATTATTAGAGAAGTGAGAAATCATATATTTATTTT